AAAAAAAAAAAAAAAAAAAAAAAAAATAAAAAAAAAAATAAAAAATAAAATAAAATAAAAAATAAACAAAATAATAACACCAAGTAACTTTCTTAATCCTGACTAAAGATGGTTTTCGGATAAAGTCTTTACAATGAAGTTGGTGGAACCACAAATCAACCGGAGAACATCTAGATGATATTTTATCTCTCGTATAAGATTTACGATTAAGACCTGGATTAAATATGAGCCTTATAATAAGATAAGCAGGTGTTTTTAAGGCACTTTATAAATTATTTTTTTAAATAATATCATAATTAATTTCTTTTAAGAGTATTCTGATGCTGGATAAATGGTAGATTTCAATTAAGGTTTTTATTGGGAATTAGTCGTTACAATTAGGGGGAAAAGTTTTGGAAACCTGCAACAGACCTGGGGGATATTTGTTGATGTATATAAATGTTAATGCAGGTTTCGAAGGTCTTTGCAAAGGCTCACCAGAAAGCAGCGTTAAATCTCTAGGTCTGTCCCTATTTCATAAACAAACAACACTAAGTCCTAGCATTTGGAATGCAGTCAATGAAAGCGGCCAATGGCTAGCAATTAATGTTCAGTTTAGGTTGATATTAAATCCATACATATGTTATGATTCAGTGTTTGAAATGATATTTTCTGTTGTAAGCATATCATTTTATCCCTAATGGATGGATATAGGGAAATGCCTTTTACATTTCAAATTCTTTTTCTGTTTCATCCCAGAAGTCTAAAGTAACACTACGCTTTTGTTTTGATGAGAGTTTAGCCATCATTACTATATACTTACCAAGTGAAAATAACACAATGTTATTTCTAAATAGAATGGAAAGCAAGACCACTAACTAACACACATGATCAAACTCTCACCCATGGCAAACTTTCACACATTCTGCTTCATATATATGTGCTTTTGGCTTATCTATATAACGTTCTGTTTCTGAAACTGCAGCAATAAAAAATAGTAAATATTATCTAGAGCCAAAAGCAAAATAACTTAATACCAGAGAAAGAAACTTTGGATTCATAAAACAAATTGAAAGTATCTTTCAAACTTAAAGGTGGTTGGGTGGCGCAGTGGATAATGCACTTGCTGTTCACCATGGCGACTGGGGCTCGATTCCCCGTTCAGACGTATTGGGTCACCTGCCCGACCATGTGGGTTTTCTCTGTGTACTTCAGTTTCCTGTGTGTACTCCGATTTCCTACCACACTAAGACCCAGAGAGCGCTAACATCTAGGCAAACAAGAGTAATTGATATAAGTTGAAGTAACTTGTTTCATACTTGTTGTAACATAAATAGAGTTTATATTTATATAAACTTAGAAGGCATCTTTGCAGTGAGCTTGGTTAAAAGTTTGACAAGATCGTAAATCTTCATCAAGGCCTCATATATAAATACCTTGGTATTTACATATAAGCTTTCATGTATATGTACAGAATTAAAACATCCTATAGGTACAGTTAAATGATGTTAGGGCACTAAAACATCCTATAGGTACAGTTAAACGATGTTAGGGCACAAGAACTGATTTTAAATATTCCTTTATTCTCGGATCCTTTAAAATCTCCATGTGTTCTGCCCCATTAAACTGTTTATGGTACACATTCTGTTTCTGTTTCCCTTGCCACTTTTTACAGGCGACTAGACTTCGTATATTGACAGTTCCATCTCCATCGTCCGGAATCACTTTAGGCTGTGTGTCTGGCCACATGTTCGGACCGTACACCAATCTTCCTGGCGTGGATATATTATAGCCGTGTAAACAGTGAACTTCTACACCTGGTGGGGTGAGATCTCGGATCAGGTCTTTTGTATCAAGGTGCATGTAATAGCCATCTGTGTAGTTAAGATCCAAGAAAAATTGTTTGAAGTCCTTCACTGTGTAGTTCCTCTCTGGACGCGTGACCAAGATCTCATCAGCGGACCAGTAGAGGTCAGAGGGCATTAACCATGCTGTACTAGCCATTGACCTCTGCTCTAACCGTGCCTTTAGAGCCTCCACCACATACACATTCAAGTTGTCTCCTACAAAACACATTTCTGGTTCATTATTGGTCAGTTTTTACTATTGAACCCCCCTTTTTTTCAGTGAAAACATAAATATATAAGCCAATTTGTTTTAAAACTCAAACAGAACATTTATACATTCTATGAGTTAAAACTTAATAAATCATTTACCTCAACACTAACCTCTTGATGTATGAAGGGAAATGGGGCACTTACAAATATTGTACTTTTTAATGATGACAAACTGTCAATTTTCAGCTGATGAATTGGAGGCCCTGTCTTAGATTTACAGAATGTAAAATGAACAAAAGAAATCTGTATGAATTACAAAATTTTGATGGAAATGGAGTTAAAACGCAAATTCTAACCAAAGTCAGTTAAGTAGAAAATACTGGTCACAGTGACCTATATGTTGTATGACGGTGAAGTACTCAAGAAGTATCTGCATGTAAAGTTTGATGACAATGGGACTAGCTCAATATCAGAGAAATGGATCAGCTGATTAAAATGAACGCAAATCTGGAGGTAAATTATGCAAAATCTAACCCAAGTCAGTGAAGCAGAAAATCTAGGTAACACTGACCTACATATCACATGATGGTGTAGTGCTCCTGAATATGTACATTCGTATGCAGTTGGATGACAGTGGGACTGTTTGTACATGTATTAGATAAATGGAGCTTAACACAAAGTCTAAACATGTCAAAAGACGAACCAATAAAAAAAGATAAATTAATACTCCCTCAACTAAGGGGATGAAAAATAATCTATTCATTGCGAAATCATAAGGGAATGAAAAAAAGCTTCTATTTTCTAAGAAATCTTGAAGTAAACTTCAAAATTATTTCTGCAACAAAAATGTGAATTATATCAATATAATATTTCCACTATATCAGATAATATTTATTTGTCTGACCTGAAGCAAAGAGTCGGAGAGTTTTGATGACACCTGCCCACACACCAGCCAGACTGATAAAGGACTTGATGTACTTGTCCTTCCAGGCCTGTGGCATATGATTGAGGAAGTAGAGTGTGACAGGATTCCCCATGCTGTGGCCAAGAAGTGTAACAGAAGTGTTGTTGTTAAGCGTGTAGGTTTCCTCTATCAAGGTCTGAAGCTTCTTGTACATGCCTCCAAGCTCATCTATCAACAGAGGACCAAAACATTCATTATACAAAGTCTGGTTTCTGACAGAGAGTTGAACATCATTATCAAGAGTCTCTAAACGTACAGTGTTTTTGTTACCTAAATTTTACAACAGCCTGTTCCATTATGAATTGGGAAAATATAGCATTATTTGTATTGAAATTGGGAATACATTCCTCAATTTTTGGTCATTTTGGGAAAATAAGGCACTTTTTAGCCAAGGGAAACAGCTTGTATTCAGCTGTAAAACTGAGCAAAACTATCACCGACTCCAATTATGACTTATAAAGTAAGAATGTGCCAACTCACTTGGTGCCTTGCGGAAGTCGTACGGTGCTCCCCTGATGGAGACACCACGCTTGTATCCCCAGGATTCCAAATCCAGGGCAATGTAGTAGAAGTAACTTGCTGTAACCACAATGATCATCAAAACAAATTAATGCAACATTTCATTTTCAGTCTCTTCACAAACACACTGATCAACAGTTTTAACTATCATAATGAGTTAGGTAAGTATCACAGAATGAAGTTCTGCATGAGATTAAAGTTTAAACATGAATTGTTAAACTGGCCCTGCCTTTCTCTCATAACAGTTATGACATAAATCTGTATACTTCTTTTACGACTTCAATGTAAGCTCCTTCAGTATGGTTCAATGTATTATATTAAACTTTGGTTCAGCGTACGTAATAAATTGCCCCTCCCACTCTGTCTTGAAACAAGAGATCCCAGAGGGATATTGGTGCCCACCATCGTACCATCATCATTGGATCTATGTAAGATTGATTTTGACTCTTTTTTTTTATCTATTGGATTGAGTTATTTAAAATGTAAATGCACCTTGTGGTAACTTTTGATCAAAGCTTCATACTTCGGTGTATGACATTGTTCTTTTAAAATGAGATTTCTGTTTTACCTATTTGGTAATAGTATTTACTAGTAAAGTACTTAATTTGTAACAAGGGGAACCTAAATTTGAAACTTGAGGAAAATCTATCTACCGCTTATTGGGAGATAGAGATAACAAGAGGCCCAGAGGGCCTGTATAGCTCACCTGAATATTTAAACAGTCATAGCAAAATATTCTCAATAAATATTATCCTGTACTACAAATATTTCACTTGCTAACTTTGTCGGCTCCATCTGTTGAAACTACCGGCCAAATATTATTATATGATTCTATGCTTTTTGTTTCTTCTTCAGAAGTTGTTTGAGGTGTTTGACATATTTGATGCCTGTGACCTTGTAAGTAGGTGAATGTCATTATAATTTTTAATATTTGTCAGGCTCTATCCAAGGAAGCAACCAGCCAAATATGAAGACTCTATACCTTTCAGTTCATCAGAAGTCGTTTGAAGTGGTTGACACATTTGACCCCTCTGACTCAAACTTTGTCAGGCTCCTACCAACGAAGCTTTCAGCCAAATATCATGACTCTAGGCCTGTCTGTTCTTCAGAAGAAGTTGTTTAAAGGAAAAGTTGATGGAGGACGCTGCACTATGACATAAGCTCACTTGCCCTTCGAGCAAGTGAGCTAAAAAACTGGAACTGGCAAAATCCAAGATGGCTACATTGTGACAATTGTGTTTTTCTGATCAGTCTCAAAATGAAACATGCACAATTTAGGACCTGTAAATATCAACATATATATGAAATTTAATAAAAACCTGTGCAGTACCTCTTGAGAGTTAATGATAGCAAAACTGTCATCCTATTTTCCAATCAGTCTCGAAATGTAACATGAACAATATTAGACCATTGGAAACCTAGCTGTGAATTTGAGAAAGATCACTCCAGTACTTTCTGAGAAGTAGTGCCAACAAGCTGTATTTCTCAAAATTCGCCCAGGTGGATGGAATGAATGACGAATGTGGAATGTGGAAAGTAATGTTCTATCAAAAGTACCCCTGTCAAAACATGTTAAGCCAATTCAAGGGGCATTGAATAAAACCAAAATATACTCACTGAACCCAAAGTGAGAAGGATCAAGCCACTCCACCGTTTCTGTATCTCCCCAGCCTCGTATCTGTATGTCAACCCCTGGTGCATTGTGGGTGGTGTGAGTCTTGCGATCATAAACCAACCTGCAATCAAAGTCGTGGTCACGATCATATATCACTATATAATCAGGTTAATACATGACTGACAACTAAGGGAAATAGCTTTCTGGAGAACTATGTTTGACTGTATTTAAGCATTGAACTGCTTTCAGTTGGCATTCATATTGCCTATGAATGACAACTGAAAGCAGTTCAATACTTATATTTATCATTTTTGGAATCTGTTCATCTCACAAAAATTTTGATAACACTTATTATTATGTTTGTCCAATGAATAGAACAGCCATCGCCCAGGAGGGTCAGTAGTATCCAACGGTAAATGGTAAATATATATAGTTGACACCTCTAATAAACCAAGAATAAAGCATACATTTTTTACTAATCATAAAATTCTAAAGGTTTTCATTGATAATGGAAAATACTAGTAATGCAATGAATGTAAGTATTAGGGATGCCTTATCTTCCAAAAATAAAAATAAAATGACATCAAATATGATTGTCGTTTTAATTTGTAACTTTTAGAGTTGCCAAAAACAAACTTCAAACATGGTTACTGAAATCTGAAACACAACAACTGTATCCCAGTACTACCAGGTATACAAGCTTTATTTTCACAAGGCTAAAACAAACTTAACAGGGGGAGATGTCCAACCTTTATATGTATCTTACATTTCAACCTTTCTTTTCTTACAATTCATTTTATAACTTCCAAAGTCATCAGAAAATAAAATGGTATGTTTCCACACTCAGCATTGAAAATCTGAACACCATCTTACATCCTATATTTACACTACATAGACAACAAGTGATGAGAATTATACAAAACTAGACACAGTCGTTAAATAACATGTGAAATATTTACCAAGATTAGAGTTTGACCAAACTATCGTTTCTGGTTAATGAAAATACAGCACTATTTGTAAATCGAATATCATCCTCGATACCCAGGGGTTCCGCTCACTCAGGCTCTATGCACCCCTGGAATATGTCTGGATATTGAGGATGATCCATTATCTGGGATTACTGAAACAATCATTTCGCAACTTTATTGTCAAGTACCGGTAATGACATTGTCCTCTCAAACAGGTATCCGAGTACATTCGTTCTATCCGGTAAAATTTAAAACATACATAATTAATAATAACCTGAATTTTTTTGTGAGTTTGACTTTACTTCAATCAACTCTTTAATTGATTTTAAAATTTTAGTTTGATCTACTAATAATTTGTACATTTTAAGTTTGGTACTACTATATGTACATGTACATATATTGGGTCAGAAAATTACCTCATATTATCTGTGAAACAGTCAATCAAGTAGGGTGCCAACTCATAAATGTTGAGCCACAGATCGAAATAATCAGCTGTTTTCTTTTCACAGAAGACATGAGGAACAGTTGTTTTATTCAGCTTGGCAAAGAACTGACTCCCTCCATCACCAGGCACTGAAAAATAGCAAAGTTTTGTCACTGTTGTTAATACTTGTTAAGATCATCATTTCTATCAATATTACTTATATAAGTTCAAAACAAATGATTTTACCCAAATGAAATAGTTCCTGCTGATGTATCATTAAGTTATGAAAAGAAAGTATGTATAGAAACATAAACTTGAGTCCATCATTATAAAGAAAAAACAAAAAAAATATCAAAATTCTACTTGGCAGAAAACTTTGGCATCTTCAGGTTTCTAGTTGTTGATTACAAATTTAATTCTCCAGCTCCTAAGAATGCTTCCAACCAAATATGGTTGATATCTATCTCATAGTTTTAGAGAAGAAAACTTTTAAGCAAATGCCAAATTATCCATTTTGGCTCTGCCTCCAAACATCAAGGAGGCTCAGCCCAAATTTTTACAATTCTGAATCCCAACCACCCAGGTATATTTTGGTTGAATTTAGAGGTTTAGAAGTCGTTTGAAGATATTGTTGACCAATGATGAACAACACGATACCTAGAGGCTCTGGTATGGCAAAAGATTACTCTTCTTTAGTAAATGAAATGAATGAGGATGACTTTAAATAAGTGTGCCTAGAATAAAAAACATCTGTTGATCGGCCTACTTTTTTGAAATTATGAGTGATAACGTTTGTTGAAAAATACTGTTTACAATTTTGTTGAGATATGATTTTTGCTGCAGATGTTTTATTATTCCAGTCGTTTCACCTTAAATCCTGTTTGCACCATTGGTTGTTTCACCCTAAATCGTACGTTGTTTCACCCTAATACAAATGTTTATTTTAAAGTTACTTTTATCAGTTGTAACGTTACTGTTTTAAATGATTTCAGAAACTTAAAACTGTTTTGCGGACCTGTTATAATCAGATGTGGTCAAAATGTACGAATCTTCATCTTCATCTGATAGACTTCCTCCGTCGATACCGACGATTACGGAAGTAGGGTAGTTGTGCTATTGTGCGTTAATTATGTAGTGATATTTTTTTGATTTTTTTTTGTTATTTGCTATAGGATAAAAACAGTGAGTGAGTGTTAGTTATGTTGTAGGTTTTGTATATGTTTGATTATGTTGTATGTGGTGCATGTCCTGAATTCTGCTAGTGTATTTGATTGAATTATTGTTGTTGGTAGGAGGTTCCATTGTATTATGGTGTATGGAAATGAGTGAATGAGTGTCTGTATGTGTCTTTGGATGTGTAGATATGTCTGTAACTACGCCATGTCCTTGACGTGTTCTGGTGTCTGCCGGGATGAGATTGTTCAAAGTGTGTATTGCTACTTGTTGGTGTATTATTTTGTAGAGAAGAATAATGTGTTCTTGTTCTGCATGTGTGTAGTGTTGGGCATTGCAAGTTGTGTATCATGTCTGTGACTGAGCTTGTGTTCTGGTATTTGTTTAGGACATATCGTGCTGCTCTTTGTTGTACTTTTTCTAATTGGTTTATGTTATTTGTATAATGTGGGTCCCAAACTGAAGAGCAGTATTCAAGTTTTGGTCTTACAATGGCCTTGTATGCATGTTCTTTTATGTGTGGTGAATTTATTTTTAGGTTGCGTTTCAGAAAGCCTGGTGATTTATTTGCATTTGATGTGATGTTGTTAATGTGTTTGTCCCATTTTAAGTTGTTTTGAAGTGTGATGCCAGCTATTTGTTTGAAGTTATATATTCTAGTGTGTGGTCATGGAGTGTGTATTGGTGTTTAATTTGTGTGTATTTTGGTGATATAGTGAGTATGGTGCATTTGTCGTCTTTGTTGTTGATTGTTTTGTATAGTATGCTGTCATCTGCGAAAAGTCTTAGTGTACTGTGTGATATGTATTTGGGGAAGTCGTTGATGTATATGAGGAAGAGGACTGGTCCCAAACAGGTTCCTTGAGGCACTCCAGATGTTACTGAGATTTTGTCGGAGTGTTTTCCCTCAAGTACTTCTGTTTGAGTGCGTTGTGATAGGAAGTCTGTTATTCATGTTAAAGTGGTTCCGGTGATGCCGTCATAATTTAGCTTGTACTGTAGATGTTTGTGTGGGACTTTGTCGAAGGCTTTGGCAAAATCCATTATGATAATGTGTGTTTGTTTGTTGTTGTTGTGGTTCTGTGCAAGGTCTTGTATGAATGTAATGAGTTGTGTTTCGCAAGATCTTGATGTGCTGAAGCGATGTTGTAGGTCGTGCAGTATTTTGTTGTCTTCTAAGTGTTTCATGGTCGCGCTTGTGATGATGTGTTCTAGGAGTTTGCATGCAATGCATGCGAGTGATATTGGTCTGTAGTTTGTTGGGTTGTATTTGTCTCCTTTTTTGTATATGGGGTTTACGTCGGCGTGTTTCCAGTCACTGGGTAATGTACATGTCCCTGTATCAAGTGATGTTTGGAATATTTTTGTTAGTATAGGTGCTGTGATATCCTCAAGTTCTTTTAGTATTCTGCCGTGTATATGGTCTGGGCATGCTGCTTTGTGTGGGTTAATGTTATTTAGTAGTTTGTCGACTCCTTGGCATGTGATGTGTATATCTGGCATGGGTGGATGAGGTGATATTCCTTTGTCAGGTATTGTTGTGTTTTGTTCTGGTGTGAAAGCGTCTTGGAACTGTTCATTTAGTAATAGTTTGCCTGTCTGTGTTTTCTTTTTTTGTGGTTTTAATGAAAGAGAAGGTCTTTTCGGGTTGTATTTGTTCCTTGTGTTGGGGTCTTCAGCTTCGCCTATTGGTAGGTCTGTGATCATCTTCTCAATGTATTGTAAGTATGCATTGCGTGTAAATTGTTTTTGCACTTCAGCTTTTACTGTTTTGTATGTGTGGATAAGTTTGTGATTTGTCCTTGATTTGTGGCGGAGGCGTTTAGACTTGTTTGTGAGGCGGCGAAGTGAGATGTCCATCCAGGGTAGTCTGTGTTGAGGAGTCTTAGGAGTCTAACAAATGACAGAAAAGACCACGTTAGCGATACTAAAAAGAGATCTTCAAATGAGACTGTTTCAGCCATACAGAAAACAAAAACATGATTAAAAATTCACTCTAAAATATTTTCGAGCGAAATAACTCGTTGGAAAACGACCCGGATTAGGGCGAAACTACCGGATGCCAATAATACCTTTCGATATTGCGGGGCGAAATGGTTGGGGCGTCACGATGCAACATATGAGGCATTAGGTCTACGGGGGCTTACGGCTTAGGCCTGGGGTCGGACGATTTGCTCCCCACCCTCTCTTATTTAAAAGCATTGAATCAATATATTTGTGCTTTTACTTCCATACAATTATCGAAAGAGTACGGTTAAGAGTGCCGGCTCAAACAACGTAGATTTATTGATCTTATGTTGCATAAGATTTTTCTTGATCATCACGCGTGCACACGTGTAAACAACAGGTTATAAACCATGAATTGATATCAATACATACTTAAAATCACCGGGGACAGGGTCTTTCCAACTGAATTAGGCTTCTCGAATGAATAGTGAAGACATCCACATAAAAACAGTATGGCCAACAACTCCTTACATGACATCCTCCCGACATGTGATGAAAAACTAGGCTACAACTCTCGGGACGCCCTTAGTTATAAGGCGATTATAAAAATCGGACCTGTGTACGGAAACGGAAGCGTGCGGAAAACGACTGGCATGAATTTATAAAACCTTTTCAGTACGAGTTACTTCCCTTTTATTCCATTTTTTTGTTACACGGTAGTGCTTTACCCACGTACCTGCACCATCCTCGATATCCAGAGGTTACGTTCACTTTTCGCTCTCTGCACCCCTGGAATATGTCATGACAAAATTGAAGGTTTGATCCTTTGATGTGCATCAAAAGAATCTCGCGGTCGCGTAACGGTAAATCTTATTGACTTTGAAGTCGGGCGTCGCTCCTCCGTAACGTTCGGCCTACCCGAGACCAATCAAATACATAGCCGTTTGCCTTCAAATTCCAGGGGTGCAGCGAGCGTAAGTGAACGTTACCCCTTGAGTATCGAGGATGTATCTGCGTATATATGGCCAAAAATGATAAAACTTTGATAAGGAATCTGTTAGCCAAGCCATGAATAAGATTCCTTGTCATACCTCATGTACATATGTTTCGAGGCAGATGATATGGATTGGGCGTATGGCACCTTGCTCAAAGACATCATCGATGAACAGAAAGTGTCTAGAGCTAAGAAATTACTCTAGTTTAATAGTAAGCTTAGGTGGGCTATTTATATAAAAAAACAAACATTTTTTTTAACAAGCTTAAGCTTGAAAAATGTAGTGCACCTCATAACTGGCTATTGTACAAAACCCATAGAAATCTCGTTATTAAGATCCAACGAGAATCTATGAGAGTTTATTTTCTCGAACGCTGCCATAGCGGCCCAAACTCATAAGATTTCTGGCCGACTATTAACACTTTCCTATATAAAAAATGTCCAAACAGCGACCATACTGCCATTCTGCAGGAAGACGACAGTATCATTCAGTGAGGTTTTTGATAATTATTTAACCAACGAAGCCACTGATAAAGGCCAAAATCTTGAATCTATGTCAGACCTATCTACTCATGACAGTGTCAAATCCATTTCTTCCAATCTAAACACAGATCACAGTTTCAATTTGTTCCAGTTAGTCCAAAAACTGTCTTAAAACCCTTAAGCAAGTTAAACTGTAAAAAATCTGCTTGAGTGGATGGCATTCCTGCTAGAATTCTAAACTCTAGTACTTCTTCTCCATGTAACCCCCTATCAACTCTAATGAATCATTGTATTAAAAAGGAATCTTTTCCAAACTCTTTGAAACGGGCACAAGTGATTCCTATCTACAAAAAAATGACCCCTTAGACAAAGCCAACTATAGACCCATCAGTATATTACCAGTCATGTCTAAGGTCTTTGAACGTATTTTACATGATCAATTAAATAGTTACTTTCAAAATATATTCAAACTCTTCCTAGGCTTTGTCTAGGGGGTACCCCAAGGGCCGCTTTTATTCATTATTTTTATAAATGACATTTTTCTTACTACTAAAGACGGTATTTTATACAACTATGCTAATGATAATACTTAATCTTACACACATGGAGACCAGCATGTTTTGAAAAATGTTTTAGAAAGAGAATCCAATAAGCTTATATCTTGGTTCGAACACAATGGTTTGAAAGCCAACCCTGATAAATTTCAGGCTATTTGTGTTGGCACCAAGGCTAATAGCAGCATCAAATCTTTTAACATCTCGGATTCTGTTATACAGTGTGCAGATCCTGTAAATCTTCTGGATGTCAATATTGACCACAACCTCAAGTTTGATACCCGCATCTCTAACATATGTAGAAAAGCTGCTAAGCAACTTGCTGCTCTCAAAAGAGTTGGTACATGTTTATCAATTATGTCAATTTAACACCGTTTTAAGCACTTTATGCTTCTAAAAGCGTATCCTTGTAAAACTTAGTTGATCGGTCCGGCAACACTATAACAAGTAGGCGAGTTTTGTTAAGGATGTACTCTTCTGAGGTTTTAATCACGTTCAAGTCTCGTTTTGATCTGGTGTTATGGGTTTTTGTAATATTTAACAAATTACGATCAAATTTATTAGCAAAAACACACATGCAAAATATGTCAAAAAACTAGATGCCTGCTGTTGGAAGAACCTTTTTTAGAAGGATTTAAAAAAATTACCAATTCGGCGGCCATTTTGAAAATGTGTTTTAATGTGTATTTCTTGCGCTTCAAAATAGGCCAAAATTTCACCTTTTTTGACACTAGATTGACCACTTAAATTGTCATTGTGTCGCCATTTTTGATTGTTGCAGGTTAAATTTTGCTGTACAACTTTATAATGTTCAATATGATAAAAATGATATGCAAGAAACTCGAAAATTATACATTATTGATATTATTTTACGTGTTTAGTGTTACTGAAGCACTTTTGATTTTTGACCCCGAAAAAGGTAAAAAAATAACACAAAAAAAAGAAGCATTTTAGAAAGAGAAACACATTTTCATTTAATTCATTAAATATTTTAAAAAAGTTTAATACCAGAACTTTTTCTATCAAGCGTTTAATCTGCAAAAAAGGTAAAAATTGAGTATTTTTTCATTAAAAAATAGGGGGTAGGGGTAACTAAAATCGGCTTTCTGAGTTGAAAGCATAATATTAAGAAATTTTACTTCCATAGATTAAAAGAAAATAATATTTTCATCAATTCTACAAACATTCATACATATCTGATAACACACTTGGAAAAAATTGTATGAATTTGTTCTGCAAATGGTCAAAACCCAAAAAATCACATGTTGTGTTAAATTGGTATCTTTAACCGATCATAGCACAAAAACGAATACACGGAGATATTTACTACTATGCCATTAACTCCTTTTTCCAAAAATCCATATAAGAAAAAAAGTTTAACACAGGAAATTTTTGACTTCTGAGAGGTGTTTTGAGGCCCTGATCGAAGATGTTGCTTGATTTCTTGATCTGTTGTAATTAGCCCAGTTCTCCTCAGTTCTTCAGTGTTGGTATTTATACCATTTTCCTCGTTTCCTTTTGATGTCATATCTAGAGGGGTTGATTCCTTCAGTTTATCGTGATTGACCTTGCTCACTGGTATATTTTCCTCTACCAATGATGATAAGATTTCAGCAATGGTCTTCCACGATTCTTCCGTTGTCATCCCCTCTAGTAATGAGTGCCAATCATTATTTAATAGTTTTCCACGAATTGTGTTGCAGTTCCCTTTTTGGAAGTTCCTTTTCACCGTGATGTTATTTTCTGTGTCAATACACAAATTTAAGCAAAAAGTCAACAACAAGTGGTCACTGAGATCAAGACCTGGCATATGTACAACATTGTCGACCATACCTTCTTCGTTAGTGAATACTAAGTCCAGAAGTTAGCCACCTGTCCTTCCCTGTATCTTGTTGGTAAGGGAACATGCTGATGTAGAGCATCATATGCTAAACAAAGCAGAATGACCATATTCCAATCTTTTATTATGTCAAATTTTAATTATTGCCCTCTGGCCTGGCACTTCTGCAGTAAAACAGTACATCAAAAATGGAAAAAACACAGGAACGAGCCTTACGTTTTGTGTTAGATGACCACACTACCCCGCTGCATAATATTTTAATGAACTGTAAGTTGGATTATTTACATGTAAGGCGTATTAAGTTGATGGCCAAAGAAGTTTTTAAGATGGTAAATATTTTATCACTTGCATATGTTCAAGATCATATCGTGCTTAAAAATGTTTCTTATAATCTCAGTGAAGGAAGCACAGTCTAGATTCCAAGAGTGAACACCACCAGGTTTGGCTTGAAGTCTTTCCGTTTTGAGGCAGTCAGGGTGTGGAACAGTCTACCTACTGAGCTCAGGACAGCTCGTTCTTTCCCGTTTTTTCCACACTACTCGGCACCCTGGGTGACTCACTCTGCAACTGCTTCTTGTGTTCACGCTAGTTTGTCACTTTTCTTTTTATATATCTATATTTCTCATACTATATGTTGTTATATAATTCGATATGGTGCTTGCTTGTTGTATAGCGTGCTTAAGATGCTTTGCATGGCACATGCTTTGCTGGCATTACTTGCCAATTATATTACCATTTAGTGCTTTTTTTTTGTTATGTAGTTTGCTGGTTATGCTTTGAGGTCGTGTGATTTGCTTGCTGTGCTCTGTCGTCATGTTACTTGATTGCAGTGCTATTTGTTAATGTTTTGGCTAGCTGCTAGTATTTGGTTTGTTATATTATTTGCTTGTAGTGCTTAACTCGTTATATAATGCGTTTGTTATGTAATTCGTTTTGTAGTGCTTGCTTGTTGTATAATTTCTCGATATATCTAGTCTTATTGTCATCTTATGTTTTAATCATTCTTCTTAACATTATCTTTACTATTCCTTTATCGTGCTCCATACACTCTGTATGTATTTCAGATTGTACTATATAAGTGCTTATTCGGTAAATTTTTACACTTTGCTATATTAACATATATATATATATAGCGATGTGCTTTTAGTCACTCAACAGATTTGCATGATATTTGTGCTTGCTCTTATCTATGTACGTTTAATTAATATGTTTGAACAAATTCTCTCATACCTAGCTATAGCAGATCTAGTTTTTATATATGTTTTGTAACCTGATGTGATATTTTTTCTTACGTTTTGTCGTAATAATAGCCCTTCAGAGCTAATGTTTCTGTTTTCATATATACAACTGTAAATAAAATATCGTGTATCTTGTACAAACAAGAAATTTTGCATCTGGATTTTTAAGGATCCCCGTACCACTACCCATCACGTTAACTAACAGTTGTGTGTTGGAAACTTTGAATTTTCCGGTATGACTATAGTTCTGATAAATCATTTCTGAAAAGGAAATATATATAATCAAAAATAGTGTTTTGAGTGTAAAAACTCCATCGGTGCTAGACCAGGATTCGAGCCCCGGAATTCGCTCTAACCGATTGAGCTACCTGGTCATCGGAAGTGTGGTGCCCAAACAGTTCTACAGTTATGTCCAGACGGAAAGTACCCCAAACGGTATTTTTCATGCAATACAAATTAACGGTATCATAATGCATTCCAAAGGTTTTAAGGAAATTCTTTTTCTTCCTTACTCGAAATAAACATGCCAGTGTCAATCCGCGACTTTCATATGCTTGTATTCCATGACGCGCATGAATACAATTACTGTATGTTAATTCTATAGGGGTGATGAATCCTGAACATAAATGTTTCAAATCAATTATAAAACGTGAACTTTGGTACAGAAGTACCACTTTTCAGTGTGTTGTAGATTGGAATGTTGTAAGTAAACAGATATGTGCTACAGTCCTTTCTACCTCCTTTACAAATCGTTTGATCCTGATTAATCTAAGGGTCACGAACAATTCATGTTTGTTCTTAACTGTCTTCGTTTGAATATAGATGGCAGTACAAACATTAATCAGTAAGGGACAACTGTCTTAGTTTATGGCAGGTAAATATGTGTTTAACGGTAAACAAAGTTTGTTTAATATCATTGACGCAAGTATAAAATAAAGTAAAAACTAAATAAAAGTGTAGTAATTCATTATTCTTTTTTCCTGCCTCCCTTGTATTGTTGTTATGAATTTCAGTAGCACAGGTAAGATGATTTCACTGGTGTCATGGCTATCAAATATATGTTTGTTGAAAATCTTACAAAGAGATCACGCTATGAACTTATTTCCCTACGGGTTACTCGGCTTCATTTGAGATAAAACGTAATCCAATATTCTTTTTGCAGGGAAATCATCAGGCAAAGTACTACAGATAAAATAATATAGACAATATATTTGTTGACAAGTGTAAGTCTAGCTATATATATAATGCGCTATGTTATCATCATATACGGAAGACTGTCCATAAACATGACATACAGTCGAATCTGCTCAAGCGACCATATGTATTAAACGACCATCTGTTTTATGCGACCACTTTTCATTCCTCATAGCCGTTTTTACCATGTAATTTAACTGTATTAAGCGACCATCTGTCTAACGCGACCAGCGACCACACAATATGCTGAAAGATTATTTTAGAAGTATTAAACTATTAATCTAGCATTTTAATATTGTGTTAACATTTTCCAAAAGTTGTTAATGTAAATTCTTTGTACCTGAACTAGAGCTTAAGTCTAAATAATCCGTCAAGTAAATAGGCTTGAGCCAAGAAACAATTTCTTCTTAAGTAAAATGCTAATTAAATTTTCATTGTAAACAAGGTCTTGTGTATAAATCTGCTGTTAGCATGGTTTGTGTTTCAATTTGTTGCTGATTCTTCCACGAGAGGTTCTAGATTTTGTATCTCACCATGAGGGTAACCATTGTGATTGGTTGGTGTTTGGTTGCTATGGTAGCCGCTGCTCCACAGGACACTGTGCTGAAAGAACTGGAGGAAGATCTACAGCGAGCATTCAAGTTAGGAGGAGAGCTACATCTGGACAAGAAAAATGCCGGTTTCAGTGGTCTTTCGGAGGGTCAGAAACAGGACTTGGTCGATTACCATAACAAAGCTAGATCAGAGGTTTCCCCGAGAGCCGCTAACATGTTAAAAATGGTGAGTTGTGAACCACTGCAAACCATATCATCACTTTCCGAAATGTTTAAAAGAAATGACGTCGTTTTTAAAGCTAAACGTATCGCTTAATATGATTTTGTTAAGTCGATTTGATAAAATATTACAATGAAATCCACGAATGAATCATTTTAATAGCCTAGCTGAGTTTGTAAGAGTGTTTACTGCTTGAGTGAGTAACTTTCTTGTACAAGTCAAAGCAAACAGTTCGATTTAACGTTATTTCCTTATATCATATTTGATCATACAAATGTCAACAAGACATTAAAAGATTGTAAAATAAAAACAGACATTTTACAGCGTCAACACACAGGAACAAACGAACCCAGTTTCCTATATGTTCGTATCGATTTAAAGACCATTTACTTGTTCATCTAAGTACTTTCTGGTGAAATTTTCCTGCATGAAAAATACGGCTTTAGTTAAGTAAAAAAGTATCTGAAATATAAGAACGTTCATGAACCTAGGGTTCTCATCGTATCAATGTAGTTCCCTGATAAAGACGGTAGTATCATGAACTACTCTAGTTCAGCAAAAGGGTTTACTGGTACCTATATTTGTTTTACAGCAGTGACGCCATTTGCTTTGACTGTATCTGGCCTCTGTTCCAGATCATTCTGAATACCTCGCCTTGATTACAATACCTTTCAACAAGTCAAATAAGATGAGAATCAGAGAATTGGCCGAGGTGTTCTAAATGTTCCCAGATGATTCATTTTCATATGATACCTGGTTTTTGCAGGAAGTAGAAAGGGTTGTATTCGAACGTTAATTGTTCATAATACTGCATTAATATGCAACAGAACGCGACAGAAACGTTGAGCCATGTCTATTTACGACTGATCAACCAAATCACTTGTTGTGGAGAAAAGGTTTTTAGAAAGAATACGCCAAATATCTGAGAGAATTGAACTTTTTTGATATATTCATAGAAATACATGGAAAAGGATCTGATATGCCCATTATCACAAGGCCGACTTAACACGTGTCATTATAATAGACCATCATCATTACCAATGCAAACATTCATCCACTCGTTCTTTCTTTCAATCTGCTGTTCTTGTTTTTACATCATTAACAAAGTAATAGAGTTTCCCCAACGAGTCATGGTTGGTTATCCTGTTTATCTAGCTGTGAACATTGTCTACATCAACGGTTAATGATGGAGAATCGGGTTTTACGGATTGTCTTTTACAGTTTTAAAATTTACTAACTAGAGTTAGATAAATATGAATCAACCAACACGTGTTTGGGGATCTTTTTCCCCCACAACGTTCAGATCTTTCGAGAATACATTTTTCCTGTTTTCGATCTGGTAAACTATGACGTCACAATGGAAGATGACGTTACAAATCAGGTTTATCCAGTGATTCGGGAGTAAAGAAACATTTGATGTTTGTGGGAGAACCAGGGTTATACATGGATTGCATACAAAATATAGCATGATGGCGAAAGTATGGTATTATGCAACATGTCAGTTAATATTACATCACATCTTATTCTCGGTGAGAATCAATTCTGATTTATAATCCCGTGAGTCAAACATGATACAATCGGTGAAGCTCATAGTTTACACTTGATAATAATTTCACTCTGTTGAACGTAAATCATCCTCAAACAGCATCTTTTACGATCATCTGTATTCATATTTGTAATAGTGCAGGCAATGCTAATTTTGTGTTTTACAGTCATGGAGTAACGAACTTGCTACTGTAGCTCAGAGCTACGCTGAGAGATGTGTCTGGTCACATAATGCTGCCAGGTCAGATGCCCCATCATTCAGCTATGTTGGCGAGAACCTTTTCCTGACATCCGGAAGTAAGTTTGATTATTCCAAGCGTAACGTAGAAAACACTTAAAATCTATATATTTTTCGATGTCACATTATTTCTCATGACAACATTAGCGTGTTTTTTTCTAAATAATAATCATGTTTAATATCATGTTAATGATAAAAAAGCATTATTGACCATTCGTTATTATTAACTTATTTCAGCATATAACGGAGAAGGCGTGGTCGACTCATGGGTCAGTGAAGTGAAGAATTACAACTACGCCACACTAGGCTGCACATCAGTGTGTGGTCACTATACACAGGTAGGATGCGGTCAACAGCTTGACCGGGAAGCGGAAATATTTGAATTGTTTTCTGATTCTTCTGATGTGTCATGGTTTGTGTTGAAGACTGTGTCAGTCATGTAATTTATGTTTGATGTAAACTGTGTCAATTGTTTGTGGTGTAGACTGTGTCAGTCATGTAATTTATGTTTGATGTGAACACTGTCAATGGTTTGTTGTGTAGACTGTGTCAGTCATGTAATTTATGTTTGATGTGAACACTGTCAATGGTTTGTGGTGTAGACTGTGCCAGTCATGTAATTTATGTTTGATGTGATCACTGTCAATTGTTTGTGGTGTAGACTGTGTCAGTCATGTAATTTATGTTTGATGTAAACTGTGTTCATGGTTTGTGGTGTAGACTGTGTCAGTCATGTAATTTGTGTTATATGTAAACTGTGTCAATTGTTTGTGGTATAGACTGTGTCAGTCATGTAATTTATGTTTGATGTGATCACTGTCAATGGTTTGTGGTGTAGACTGTGTCAGTCATGTAATTTGTGTTATATGTAAACTGTGACAATTGTTTGTGGTATAGACTGTGTCAGTCATGTAATTTATGTTTGATGTAAATGTTCATGGTTTGTGGTGTAGACTGTGTCAGTCATGTAATTTGTGTTTGATGTGAACACTGTCAATGGTTTGTGGTGAAGACTGTGTCAGTCATGTAATTTATGTTATATGTAAACTGTGTCAACGGTTTGTGGTGTAGACTGTGTCAGTCATGTTATTTATGTTTGATGTGAACACTGTCAATGCTTTGTGGTGTAGATTGTGTCAGTCATGTAATTTATGTTTGATGTAAACTGTGTCAATGGTTTGTGGTGTAGACTGTGTCAGTCATGTAATTGATGTTTGATGTAAACTGTGTCAATGGTTTGTGGTGTAGATTGTGCCAGTCATGTAATTTATGTTTGATGTAAACTGTGTCAATGGTTTGTGGTGTAGATTGTGTCAGTCATGTAATTTATGTTTGATGTAAACTGTGTCAATGGTTTGTGGTGTAGATTGTGTCAGTCATGTAATTGATGTTTGATGTAAACTGTGTCAATGGTTTGTGGTGTACACTGTGCCAGTCATGTAATTTATGTTTGATGTAAACTGTGTCAATGGTTTGTGGTGTAGATTGTGCCAGTCATGTAATTTATGTTTGATGTAAACTGTGTCAATGGTTTGTGGTGTAGATTGTGTCAGTCATGTAATTTATGTTTGATGTAAACTGTGTCAATGGTTTGTGGTGTAGATTGTGTCAGTCATGTAATTTATGTTTGATGTAAACTGTGTCAATGGTTTGTGGTGTAGATTGTGTCAGTCATGTAATTTATGTTTGATGTAAACTGTGTCAATGGTTTGTGGTGTAGATTGTGTCAGTCATGTAATTTATGTTTGATGTAAACTGTGTCAATGGTTTGTGGTGTAGATTGTGTCAGTCATGTAATTTATGTTTGATGTAAACTGTGTCAATGGTTTGTGGTGTAGATTGTGTCAGTCATGTAATTTATGTTTGATGTAAACTGTGTCAATGGTTTGTGGTGTAGATTGTGTCAGTCATGTAATTTATGTTTGATGTAAACTGTGTCAATGGTTTGTGGTGTAGATTGTGTCAGTCATGTAATTTATGTTTGATGTAAACTGTGTCAATGGTTTGTGGTGTAGATTGTGTCAGTCATGTAATTTATGTTTGATGTAAACTGTGTCAATGGTTTGTGGTGTAGATTGTGTCAGTCATGTAATTTATGTTTGATGTAAACTGTGTCAATTGTTCGTGTAGTAGACTGTGTCAGTCATGTACTTTATGTTTGATGGAAACTGTGTCAATGGTTTGTGGTGTAGACTGTGTCAGTCGTGTAATTTATGTTATATGTAAACTGTGTTCATGGTTTGTGGTGTAGACTGTGCCAGTCATGTAATTTATGTTATATGTAAACTGTGTTCATGGTTTGTGGTGTAGACTGTGCCAGTCATGTAATTTATGTTTGATGTAAACTGTGTCAACGGTTTGTGGTGTAGACTGTGTCAGTCATGTAATTTATGTTTGATGTGAGCACTGTCAATGCTTTGAGGTGTAGACTGTGTCAGTCATGTAATTTGTGCTGATGTGATCACTGTCAATGGTTTGAGTTGTAGACTGTGTCAGTCATGTAATTTATGTTTGATGTGATCACTGTGTTGGTGGTTTGTGGTGTAGACTGTGTCAGTCATGTAAGTCGTAAGAATTGTACCTGCTGCCCCCATTGCATGATCATAAGAGGCGACTAAATTTGAGATTTTATCTTTTCTCTTCTTTCTAAACAATCTTTCTTCTTCCAAATGTCTCCATTGACAATGCCTCACTTTTGGCCTTTAGTTGAGAGTTCGACCCTGTGAGGAAGGCTTTGGGCGCTGTCCCCTGGCCGAGACATACCAGGGTCTGTAAAATGGTAGTTTCTACTCCTGTTTAGGAGTGGGACGGCTGGTTCGCCAGTTGTCAGTATAATGTGACCGGGAGGGGTTTACTGCTGGTTGTTTTCGGCAGTATGTTTCTGTGAGGTAGCAATATAAAGTCGGCATCAGTTCCGCGCTATCACAAGGAGACAAACACGAACATATCGCAGCCTCCGAAAACACACACGCATACACTACATGAATGCATCTTGCACACAGGGGAGGCCGTCCTTAAATGACCATAGCTGTTAATAGGACGCTAATCAATACTAAACCAAACTAAATCAAACCAATCAGTCGCGTAATTTATGTTTGATGTAAACTCTGTCAATGGTTTGTGGTGTAGACTGTCAGAAATTCATTTAAAGCACAAAGTTAACAATATCTTAATTTGAATTCAACTGCTGTATGTAAGTTAATAATTCATTTAACGCAGTCAACACAACAGAACTACACAAATGTACTTCCAACACCGACGTCATTTGGCGGACTTGCCTGGCGACTAACGTCATGACGTCATAGCGCGTGTAGGCTGTCTTAACGACAGTGTTTTCTTGTCCATTTAACAGTGATATCAACATTTTTGGTGAGGGAAAGATATTTCTATCTTACCCAAGGGTAAACACGGAGGTCCGGACTCCCCTGTTATAACAATTGTGTGACGTCACGACAACAATAGAAGATTACGGAAGATAAATACGATTTGCAGGAAATTATGGAATCAACGTTTGAATTTCAAAAAAATGCCCTCTTCTATTTGATGTGGGAGAAAAATAATAATTCACGACTTAAGGAGTAAGACAGAAACATATCAATCCTCAGTGTAAGATTCTTAAATGTCGGGCCCTCGGCAATGCCTCGGGTAAAATATTTAAGAATCTAACCCCTTGGTTGAGATTTTTCTGTCTTACCTCCAACATAATTCATCTTTTTACAGGTGAGTTCCTGCCTTTCACAGAAAAGTTTTAAAGAAAGTGGAAATCACGCTATGGCTTCCGTTTAATTATAATGATATTATGGTTTGTGTCGTAAACTATTAATGTCATGACCTGTTTTATGTTGTAAACTTTGTCATAACTAAATGTGTATATTGTAGCAAGTATGACATGATTTATGTTTAGGTTGTGTGGCATGATTCAGAGTTCGTTGGGTGTGGTGCCGCGCGTTGTAACTCCGTCTCGGGACTAAGCAGTGGTTGGACCAATTCTGTTATAGTCGTTTGTAACTATGGAAAAGGGTAAGTAACACTAACCACCCTCAGTATATACGGCAATTTTTTCATCTAATTGTCAAATGATTTATATAATTATCGTCATTGATAAACTGGGATGTTATTAAAACCATGCCATATATAATACTTGTATACGATATCGAGATTGCATTGCAGTATAGCGTATCAGGAAAGAAATTGATTTAACAATGTGAATTGTTCTGATTAGCTAGACTGATGATAACATTCATAGTGACGTACGTATTTATTACTACATGGACATCAAAAACACTAAAATCAGAGCTTGGTGTTTAGGTTGATCATGGCGTTCGCTCTTGCAATGGTATCTAGTTTCAAAGTCCTATGATAAAAAGAATATAACCTTTCTTTCCATTTAGCAAGCTTTCCATTTAACAAGCTTTCCTTTTAACAAGCTTTCCATTTAACAAGCTTTCAATTTAACAAGCTTTCAATTTAACAAGCTTTCCTTTTAACAAGCTTTCCATTTAGCAAGCTTTCCATTTAACAAGCTTTCCATTTAGCAAACTTTCCATTTAGCAAGCTTTCCATTTAACAAGCTTTTCATTTAACAAGCTTTCCATTTAACAAGCTTTCCATTTAGCAAGCTTTCCATTTAACAAACTTTCCGTTTAACAAGCTTTCCATTTAGCAAGCTTTCCATTTAACAAGCTTTCCATTTAGCAAGCTTTCCATTTAACAAGCTTGAAACTCATAAAAGACTTATGTAACACATTGTATTTTATATGGCGTAGCATGAATTGTTTTGTGGACGAGCTGTGTCTTTTTTATGTATTATCGTGTAATTAAGAACTACTAGTGTTTGAAAACAATATAAATCATGTGTTGTCCTTCACTAGCCAGAGAACTGAGAACTATTTAGTTCTCATTTATTCTCTTTGACATTTATTATACCACATATTCGGCCTCTTCAACTGCATATCTAGATGTTTATCTTTAAAATATGTAACATAATAGTCACACATCACTGCTAAAGCTTGGTCCTAATGTGACGATGATTTTTATTCTACGATCGTTAACTTTCCTTTCGTTAGTAGTAGCATACGAACAATCCTCTTTCCGCTAACCTGGAGTCGGTTCTATCAGGACTAAATCTAAACGCTACTCGCTGACCAATAACCTAACTAGGCTGAGCTTCAGTCTACCTTTCAGATATGCCGTGGTAGGCATAATGTCATTCTTTCTACCTATAAGTTTCCAGTGCTAACCATGATAATACAACTCAATATTCTTTGTCGTATTTGCCCGCATACTTTTTTCTTATTGATAGGAGACAACCAGACAGGTGCCATATATGGCTACTACCCAACTCTGTTTGCTGTCTTTCTGAGCCAGCTTATAAGATCCGATGTATTATTTGAGTTTTGACCCTTTGTAATACATTTTTTATATTGCCGTTTTTCATTGATTTGCTTGATATTCTCAAAGTAAAATTATATCTGAATTGCAGTGGTAACTACCGTGGAGCCACGCCCTATACCCAGGGAAAGTCGTGTTCATCGTGTCCCAGCGGCAAAGTATGTCAGAACAGGTTGTGTGCTAATCCCGGGGACAATGGAAACTTTGGTACGTACATGACGCGGTCAGCGCATCGTGCTCCATATATAACATGGTATAAATGCTTCGTTACAAGACCAATGTAAGTAGCATTTGTATGATAATTTATTGTTACTATTGCAGAACCCAGTAACGACAGCAGTGGCAGCTCAACCTGTAACTGATCACATGTTCTGGACATTTGGCCGAAGCCGTGACAAAGAAGCGTTACACACATCTACAACTCTACAGTGTCCATTCTTGAATTTTACTTATATACCATGGTATGTCTGCCACTCTGTATTTTGTATCTCTCCTGTTACTAGTTAGATAATAAACAATTTTGCAGTACAAATTAATTTGCGATTCATATGAACGTTGTTACCGTTGATTGTTGTCTGATCGACGATTTCAGTAGTTTTTTCACCTTGTTCACGAAACATTGATTCTGGTCACAACAATACACCAACGTGGAATATCAGGAGATTTTTACGGGATTAACTACCTTTTCCATTTTTAATATTCATAACAAAATATTTACTTTGTGTGATTATAATGTTATGAGCATAGTCTTACTATTTAAAATATCACTCGGACTTTCAAAACATTCGTTTGCAATTAAATTTATCAATGTTAATTTGGTCGAAAATTCTGTCCCAGAAGTGTTCATACAAAGGCCACAAATGATGCACATACATGGGTCACAAATAATATGCATCCATAATCATAAAAGGTACATACAAGGGCCAAAAAACAATGTACATACAAGGGCCACAAACAAATGTACATATAAGGGCCACAAACAATGTACATACAAGGGCTACAAACAATGTACGTATAAGGGCCAAATGTGATGCCCCCACTTTGATCACAAATATTGTTTAGCATGTACTACAAATGTTAATCAGATGCACTTAATACGTTATGTTCCTAATTGAATGAACAATTTAGTCGATGGTTATTCCAATTTTATTTTGCCTTTGTTAACAGTGTTATTATATTCCGTCTTTGCATATTACAGAGTTATCTTCTCTTGGGAGCAGGCATTGATTGTTACGTCACTTGTTTGTGAGAGCAACGTCATCAATTTTTGAGAAAACGACGTAATTTTCTCATACAAACCAGTGACGTGACAATCAATACCTGCTCCCAAGAGAAGATAACTCTGCAATACGCAAAGACGGACTATCGTCATATGCAAATATTGTGCTCCAATCTAGAAGCCCCAATACACTGATAGACGTATTATGTCTAGGCAATCTTTATCAAAGATAATATACTGAAACATGATAGGGAAGTTAACCTCTAGAATTTGTACAACAACACAAACCTCGCTCGCTAAATAATGTCACTTTGGTATGTTGTATGATGTGCTATTAGAGTATGGTAAATACAAGTACCTTTACATGATACTAATGACAAGGAAAATGAAATGAAAAGAACGGTTATTCAGCAGTTTAGCTGTGGACTGTCCTCAAAGTTGTCAACACCAACTCCGAAACAGGATAGCTTTGCGACCAATCTTTGCATGACCTTATTGTCGATGGTTCTGTTACGACTGAGAACCCACGCAAACTGGGCGTTGGCCATGTCCAGGAACTCGGTACAAGAGAAGACGAGGGCGTGGTATGTGTAGTCGGTAGCTATGATAGAGTAATCCAAGGGGAGCTTACCTGTCAAATTATTAAAATTTATACTGAGTTAATAAAAATACTTGTATTCATAGGCACTGCTTCACATTTATATAGGACATGTCTAGAAAGAACGAGGTTATATGCTAACAACATCCATAAGTACTCACTGGAGATCTAGGATATGTAACTCTACGCAATGAACCGGTGCTCTCTGTAACGTTAGTTATAGACATATGGTATTTTTCATCATTTTGTTTACAATAACTTGATAAGCAGTATACTCTTTCTGCTAAACTTGTATCAAGATCACCCCGTATAAAATATCGCAAAAATGTTCGGAACATATTGTTTCAATTTGTCGATTAGAAAAGTGATTATCAACCAATGAGATTCAACTGAAAGGAGTTCCGGCCAGGGACAATACTACATGCTTGTATTGCCACATGCACATCTGAGAACCTTGCACTTCATGCCCTGAGGACTAGCTGTATCGTTATAGTCGAATAAACCAGGTGTGCAATACAAACTTTCAAGCCATATTGTATATTATATACAGTGTCACTTTCGTAATTTTTATAGTAAGCTGATCTGCGATTGCAAACATAAGTTCTTACTCAATTGCAATATATCAATCTCAAAACAGCAAAGCATACATTTCAAATAAACAGAAAAAAGGCCTTTGCTTATCTTAAGAATGTTTGTGAATATTACTATTTGTCCATCATCAAAGTATGGTCGCCTTCAAACCTAAATGGTTGTTGACTTCGACGTCACTATAAGATGATAAGAAATGTGAGAAAAAAAATGTCTAACTTCACGTTGACCGATAATCTTATGTGAAAATGTTGATTTATCTTTTTCGGTGAAAATAGCAACGCGGTTAAATTTAGTGTCGATTAAGGTCCGTCTATGTCTAAAAGTTGTTGATGATAGTTACTTTTCATTGATCATAGAAAAATGAAATTTAAAAAGAATAATTTGCAGGCCTTGCAAATCTCAACAAAACATATGAACAAATGCAATCTGGTCATATTCACGAGGAACGAAAACAATGAAACACATGCAATACCGTGCGAAGAGTAGTTACAACAATTAAAATGCACACTTAATAATTTTAGTAAAAATGCTTCAGATGATATATATTTTGAACACTTGCGATTTTCAGAATGTTTCAAAATATATTTTTAGATTATTAATTGTTATCTATCCGATTTATAAAAAATATCACAGTAATAATAACATGAAAAAAGGAAACAAATAATGAAATAAGCTGCAAATAAACAATGTCAGATACTTACTGCCCGAGAACGTGACCATATACCTGGCAGGAATGGAAGGGTCAGAAACATAACCGTCTCCTTCAGCCACCACAGTCGTATTGTCCGGTCTGTGAAGGATAAATGATGATACCATGTAAACAATCTAGAACAACTGGTTTGACTAAAAATTGGCTAAAAAGTTTCTTTCTATATTATAATGTATTTGGAATAAAAATGCGAACACATTTTAACACTCGTTTGTTGGTTCCTACATGAAATAAAGTATTATACGCAGAATCGTTCTCATTATTTTTATAAGTTATATTGTATAAGTAACAACACGCAATCGAGAATCAGTTCCAGCGCGTCAAATACCTTTCTATCCTAAAATATAATAGGTCCCAAACAACTTTACAATTAGATAAATATCCAATGATGTAACATACTTTTTTCCAACAAATCGGAATAAAATTCATTTATGTAAGGACTTTTTTTGTAGTATCCCTTTCAGTAATTACCTATGTGAATACATACAGAAAATAAAACAGTGCAAAATATCATAAGGAACCGTTCACAAGTAACATAGTTTAACTAGGAACATTATTCAAGTCTCGCATACGAAGTGTCCTTCTGCTCTTTTTCAAATTCGGCTTTAATCTATTTTTCTTCTCTCTTATCATATATATGTAAAACTTAAAATGTAGACTAGGACTGAAAACAGCCCCTTATCGCAAACAACGTCAAACGTTGATATCCTTAAATTTGCCAGGTGTCAAGACAAAAGCACTGAAACAAAAAGTACTTACAGATCCCCATAGTTGTGGAGACCTATGTGTTCGTTTGGTTTGAGTGTGTATTCCATTCGGATACAACTTTGACCTTCCTCAAACTGGTCATAGAATCGAAACACCTCGTACCAGACCCCAAGGAACTGAAAAATGAAAAACAATAATACGTATCTCCTGTAAAATGTTTTGATAGACAAAAACAATTTTCTTCAATTTATAAGATAATTGTGAGTATCACAAATAACTGAATTCCAAAAAATGCATCTCTTTACTGCATATATAAACGTTTAAGTGAAACTGGCAAACGTTATTCGTAAACGCCCGTGTAAAATATTTCCCCACATATATGTGTACACATTAACGAAACAACAAAACGAGACTTATGTGTTCCAGAACGATACCTGCTTCCTAAACTAAACACCATATACAAAAGGAGCTGTATTTATATCAAATATATATACTACATATCTAAATTTCCGAATTATTTTAAATTATGTGTAATGCATATGACAAATGGCTGACAATTCATAGAAGATAATGGTTCCCTGGTTATTTTGATAAATACTAGTATCAGAATTGAATTGTTCCTATCATAAATGCCACTATAGACAATTGGTTGTTGTAAAATACATAATATTGGGAGTTCCCTTCTGGGATTATAAGAGTTTGAAATGTTGTACTGTTACATCGCTGTGTCAAAAGATAATTAAAACATTGTTTAATTGAATTATCATAATAATTATTTAAACACGTTTTGTGTTTTAATCTACATGTTTTACATCCATCCACTCACCAAAACCTAAGCCTAAACCATAAGATTCCGTATTCATGAAACCTTGATCGTGCTTAAACTCAGATTATGTGCTCAACCCTCTTGGTTCGGTGATCGATTAATAAACATTCATTTGGTTTTGTTAGTGATTAAGAAGAATTTTGGAAAGACTTAAAAACAGAATTCTGGTCTCAATGTTACTCTTGAAGTTTTTACCATGACACGTTATTTAACAGAGAAACAGGAAAGTTAGGTTGAGCAAAGAATCCATGATTGAGTGCAGTTTCATGAATATGGTCACAGGGCAATATTGTCACAAAGTTAATCAGACCTTGGGTAATCAGTTGATAATGCACTTAACGACCCCAGTGAGCTTTTGTATAGAAGAAGCCACAGGGCACATTGCATGGGTTATCTGATCGATAATTGCAGTATAACCTGACAAACCCTATGGTACATGACAGTGGATATATCAATACCCTTCAAACACACACATAACAAACAGACATGATGCATGACATGACACACATATGGGGCCATGCTTGTGGCTTATAAATTATACTGGTATTATCCATCAGTAGACTATGAAGTGGGCATCAAGCTGTATAACTAAACCCTCATGCTATTAACATCTGAACACGTAAACTCCGTGCAGTATTTTGTGTGGGAGTGTGAGTGCGTATACAAATATTTAGATTAGGACCTTGAAAGATGAACGTTATGCACACATGTGATTGCCTCTATACAACTTGGTAGCTGATAAAGTAGGCTTAAAGTAAATTACACTGCATCATACAGCTGTGATACTAGGGGTAAAAAAGGTGGAAATCAAAAGAGGTCTACTGTTGAAACAGAAAAGGAAGGTTTAAAAAATCCATTAATGATATGAATTTCACAAAATAACGGGTACTGGTTTATTTCAAAATAGTAGTTGGTAAAGTGTGTATATTATGAACACTGCCAATACTCTAAAGAGAAAATCGCCCCCACCACGGTTACATCAAACCTCACGGACTATGTATCTGTTTCATTATTCAAGGCCAGGTATGGGACATTGAGAATTAACTTGGATAACTAACATATGTAATACTAGTATTTCTCCTCGTTATATAAGTGTATTTTAGTAGAGGTTTATGTTTTTTCCTTTTGTTTTGGTGTCTCCTCGATGCCTTTTATCGTCTTTCATTTAGTGTTGTTTTTTTCTCAATTAAGATTGTTTCTTTCCTTTTGTTTAGTGTCTACTCCCTTTTGTTGGTTTTCCCTTTTGTTTTGATGTTTTCTTGTTGTATATCCTTTTTTTGTGCTCGTCTCTTCCGTTTCTGTAACTATTTTCCATTTGTTATGATGTCGCCTCATTACCTGTTATTGTCTTTCCTATTATCTTTTTGTCTCCTCGGTTACTGTTGTTGCCTTTCCTGTTGTTTTCGTGTCCCCTCGGGTCCTAATATCATTTGTTTTGGTACCTCCTCAGTTCCTGTTTTTGTTTTTTCGTTTGTTTTGATGTTGCCTCAGGTTCTGTTGTTTTTTCTTTTTGTTTTTTGGTATCTCCTCAGTTCCTGTTTTAGCCTCCTGTTGCTTCTGTTTTTCCTCAGATCCTGTTTTTCCACTTGTTTTGGTGTCTCCTCTGTTCTTGTTTTTATTTTTCCATATGTTTCGGTGTCTCCTCAGGTCCTGTTTTTCCCCATTTGATTTGGTGTCTCCTCCTCAGATCCAATTTCCCCCCTTTTGTTTTGGTGTTTCCTCAGTCTCTGTTTTTGTTTTCCATTTATTTTGGTGTCTCCTTAGACGCTGTTGCTGTTGTTCCATTTAATTCGTTGTCCCCTCAGGTCCTGTTTTTGTTTTTTCCGTTCGTTTTGATGTCGCTCCAGTTGTATTGTCCCCTGGTCTTCGTGTTCCGATAATGTCGATGTGTATTAATAACGCTTGTTAAATGATTTATATTTATATTTATGCAGAGCATTTTTTTTTGCTTCAATACAATGACTTTCCAACTGCACACGCAAAGGAAAAGATCAGAAAGTTTAAAAAATAAAAGTTTAAACTTAAAAAAGAGAATTTTCATGTTTTTATATAACAGGCAGGTACTTAAGCATTGAACTGTTACCAGATGCAGTATACAGTCGATATGAATGCAATTTGGGTGACATTCTATTTATCTGTCACCCAAATTGCATTCATATCGACTGTATACTGCATCTGGTAACAGTTCAATGCTTATATTTATATTTATATGTATATAGTTTGTTTTGTATAGTAACTGAAGCAAAAATACGTTTGAGTTTCGCGCTTATCATATCAGTGCCGTCAGTAAGTTCAAATCCCAGAACAGCCGACATTTCCAGAAGAAATAATATAGTCCCTCGTGTCATTGAAAACCACACGCACATTAAATGGTTTGAACACAAACTTAAACTTTATTATTTACTTCATATGAGTGTGTATATGTTGAAAAATTGTTAATAATTGCATAACTTCTGCTTGTTTAAAATTAAAGCTGTTTTTCGCGCATTAATAGATTACATGTATTTTGATGTGATGCGGCGCTGAACGGACTTGATTGGTTTCCTCGGAAACACTTATGTTTCCTTTGACTGGAATATAACGTTATTTTCAGAAGCATACATACTCGGAAACGTTTAATAACGATTCCAATGACATTTCGTTTGAAATAGATTCCATGTCTAATCGGTCAGATTAAAATAGCTAGCAGACGACGTTCACAGGGGCTCGGTTTCGTGATTTTGAGTAATGGATGACATCACTGAAAAACCACAACACTTAAAAAGGTATTTATATTCATTTTAAAACCTTGTCGATACCCTCGACTTTTATAAGGTTTTAGAAATGCTGAATGTTAGTGTTGTGATTATTCACTGATGTTATGCATAACTCAAAATCTCGAAACCGATCCCCTGTGTGATGACGTTAACAAACTTGGTAATTTCGTATCTAAAATGGCGCTTACAAAACTTTTGTGGTACCTACACATCTTATAATAAATTTATATTGTCATAATTTGTCAAGTTGCTTATTTTTTTTTTTGCGATGAACTATATTGCTAAATGCTAAAGAACCCAGAATGTTTTCCGACTATAGGCCTATTGATACCGAAAGTATCGGGGGGCCATGTTTGTTTATCTTGTACCAGCTGTATTCCTACACTGGCCGTATCACTGTAAATTGTAGTATACAGTCTCATATGCTGCAATTTGGTTTACTAACGACATATAGGCAAATGCAAGACAGAATGTAAATATGATATTGTAACACAATATTTTTACAATTATATGAGAACGTACCGGCTGGATCTTGAAATCCGTCATTGGTTCCACAACTGGGCACTTTCCATTGGTGAGAATTTGACCATAGGCAACCATATTAGACAGGAGTAGTGTCACAAGAACGTATATTATTCGCAAACACATACTCCTTACGTATACACAAACACTAGGGGTAGTGATGTAATATACAAATGTATGTTCTCTATTATACTGGACCCCTATGTCTCTCCTCAAACATATGCATAGAAACATTAGTTGAAAGTATATCTTATTACGTTAAACGTTATTTGTTTTGTTTTAAATCTCCATCAACATTCATGGTTTCGCTGCTTTCAATGGTTTGAACGTATGATGGGATACCTGCGTGTTATAATGAAGAAAACAACCTAGTTAAAACAAGCCGATGAATAAAACTGATACTAGTTTACTAGACGTAAAACAGATGTCTGACACTGAAAGTGACAGCTTACTGTGAAATGAAATATTTTCATGGGATTTATATATCGTGTTTTCACCAAAACCACAATTTCCATGGGTACATGCATTCGTGGATAACAAGTACCCATTCACACGAGGAATAGCTTTATGTCAAACCTGTTATTACTTCGTTGACCTTTGAATTCGTAGATACCGAGTACCCACGAAAAAAATGAAATTAAAACAAAACCACGAAAATTAGTGATTTCATAGTATATAATCATATAAGAGACAAGTAAACATTTCGTGTGTAAGTTTATTATCGACGGAGCGTGCTAGAATGTCATCAACCACAGATTTTTTTAGTAATGACATGCTCTGTGTCTTTGATGAGTTTTATGGCTAAGCTCGTACCTTGTGTATTATTGGAGACTGCTGTACATATTAAACGAATTGAGGTAATAAACAATTCTTAGACGAAAGCATTTACAACACCAAGCTTAAAGTGGTTTTGGAAAAGGGTCCAACCCCCCAAAAAATGTTAAGTCCTTTATCAACATTTAATTAGATGTAAATATCATAACATTTAGACCTAGACAAAAATACATAGAGAACCTTAAAACGTACAAAAAGAGAGAGTTATGCCCCTTGGATGGCACTACACTGGGAAAAATCAGCAGAGACTTTTCACTTATTTTCTAGTGTTTTACACTGGAATTTCTGGTTGGTTTTTGGCAAACCATTAGTGATAGTGCTGTTTGTCCTAGGGAGGAGGTTGTGAAGATGAATAACCAAGAGGTTTCCAGGGAAATGAGTGTTCATTTTTACACTAGGAATCTGTACAAAGTTACCCATGAAGAAGTATTGGCAGGCATTGAAGAGGCCCTAGGTAGGGGATTTGTGAAGTGTATCCAGTTTAGTACTACAAACTTTGAGTGTGTAGTAACCTTGTCAAGCAAGGAAAAGAAAAGGGACCTCATTATCAACGGTATCAATGTGAGGAACAGATTTTTGCGTGTTTTGGATGTGGAGAAAAATATAACAAACGTGACAATCAAGGATGCTCCATTTGAACTGAGTGATACATATATCACAACAGTCATGCTACAGTATGGAGAGGTGATCCCAGGGAGTTTGAAAAGGGGAACCCTGAAAGACTCAGAGGTCGAAACTGGTGTGAGATATGTGCAATTACTAAATGCAAAAATAGTGATTCCGAATGAAACTAAATTTGGTAGCTATTCTGTAAGATTGTATGCAGACAACAACAGAACTGAGTGTCGATTTTGTTATCGGACAGATCACCCCTTTTTTCGGTGCCCCATGAAACCTACAGTGCAAAGACAGTGTCACAGGTGTAAGAGTACAGCTCACCTGGTGAGAGACTGCCCAGAGCCAGATCTGAGGAACACAGTGCAACCAGCACCTGGTCACAGTGTACTGAGTGAGGACAATAGAGCACAGGTAAATCACCTGGATACCTGCAGTTCTAGCCAGAGTACAGGTGGTAGTGACCTTGACCCAGGTCATGGACATTCCACCCAACCAGACCAGAGGGTATTTGCACCACATGCACCTCCACCCCAGAGCACACCTGTACCCAAACCAGGGATTACATCAGTTATACTTGGTGCTTCTAACTGCAACAGGGTTGAGATACCGGACCCATCTATGAAAATTGTGTCCAAATCAGGGGCTACAGTAGGCAAGGTGGAGGAACTTCTGCAGATGTGTGACCAAGACCCAGCAATAGATAGTGAGGCGGTTGATGATGTGGTGATACATCTAGGTACAAATGATGTTAACAAAAACACAAGCAACAACATTGACAACATCACCATCAACTTCACAACAGCAGTGGAAAAAATCAGATTTCATTTTCCAAGGTCCAGGATTACACTGTGTAGTATCCTACCCAAGAGAGGGAAAAGTGCACAGAGTGAAAAAATTAACCATGCCATCTGCAGTGTGAACAATTTTGTGAAAACTCTGTGTAAAAAAACAAATCATCATTATATGGAGCTAGAAAAGGGTTTCATCAGTAAAGGACTACCCATCAAGGGGTGTTACGATCAAAATGATGCCACGGGCATTCACATCAGCCCACATGGAGCCAACATCTTAGCCAAGATGATTCAGGATCATGTACAGGCCAACAAAGGATCGAAAAAGAGGACTATTAGTGCTGCCTCTATGAGCCCTTTAGGAGGAATCTCCAAACAGGGTAGGGTAGAGGAAGATGAACAATCAGAAACATGAACTGATGAAT